AGAGGTGAAGCACTGTGCTGACTAAGGCCATTCCAGCTTAATGAAATCCAGCATTTACATTTTAGGATCTTAGCCAACGCTCCTTGTGAGTGTGTGTGTGTGTGTGTGTCGAGAAGTAATCTACATGTGGCAGCTAAAGCAGTGCCACAAATTTGCACACTTTTATTCAAATTGTAAACCAATCAAGTCAGTTGTCTGTTGACAGAACATGATTTGTGGGTGCAGGTTAACAGACTGGTAGACGTAATGTACCGGTGGCAATGCAAATACCATTATCATTAATCATTCAGATTATACAAAAATGCACGGAGAAATAGCTGAGCGTTGAAGTGCACAGAGAGCCAATAAATCAGCCAATATCAGCGTATTACAAATATTGACGTATTGACGATAGAGCGAAGATCGGACACAAAATAAATCAGACGCAACCTTCTGTCCAAGTCTGACCCGAGCCCCAAACATGGCAGCGGTTTTGGATGCGAGACTGATGAGGACGTGTCGAGTATGCAGCTACAGCAAGCAGCAGAAACGCAGCAGATTAGAAAAACAGAGAAAACTCCAACTGAAAATATATTAAAGTACACTTATACAAGAGGATGTGAACAAAAGGCTTGTTTCTAATAATAGCCGGTCTCAAATCAATGCATGGTAGCCTCTACAGTTGTGGTAGATTAGGACCACAGCCACTGTTTGAGAATGCAGGCTACGGTATTTAAACTGTGTCATCTCCACACTGAAATACCTCCGACACGTTCTTCTTTTGTATTTAGCATATTTAGGGTATTTAGACAGGCACATAACCCATCCTCTTGCTGAGCACTGCACTTTTTGAATTGTCTCCCCTTCTTCTCACTTCATGCTCCCCTTCTGTCAGACAGACACACACACACACACACACACACACACACACACAAACACAATGCTGCGTAAACACACAAAAAAAGACTACATCCTTTACGATCTTCACTCAAATAGGCTTCTAAACAGAGTTTGAATCTACACAACTCTCATAGTTGATGGACAGATCTGTAAAACTCCACAAGGAATCACACAGAAGAACCACTTTAAATGTTTGAAATGTTTAGTGACTGGGATGTTTGACGGCATCAGACTACTTCCACAGGTAGTATCTGTATCCATATGTTTTCCTGTTGGGGTTGACCTGTGCTCCCTCAGACTTTGATATTTCTTTAGACTTTAAAAATCATTGCTTTGCAAACTCGTCCGATTGCCTCTTTGATGTAGTTCCTGAAACTGTGAGATTGATGCATCAAGTCGGCGTGTCACAGTTGCCAGAAGTTTAGTTTTCGGGGACACGGAGTCAGCGGTAAAGAGGGAGGTCTGCAAGGATTTCACGGCCACTGTGGCGGCAGTGGGAGCAGACAAAGTCTCTAGGGTTGGATAAACAATAAAGGCTTGTCGTTTGGTTAGAACAAAGGCCTGTCATTTGCTTCTGTTGTTGGTGGTATTTTTATTTTTTTCCCCCTTGTAATCTGCATGTCCAGATGGCTGGATGACTCCCCCCTCTCACAGCATCGTTAAAAAACGTAGCACAGCTGGCAGACAGAGTGAGCAAACTAAGAGTGAGGAGCAAGAGGGTGCGAGGAAAGAGCTCAGAGAACAAGAAAGGAGAAAAAAGGACTCGAGCACACTCTGACAGATAAGTGGGGGATCTTTTTGGATGAGTATCTCTTACCCAGATCCGTGTTGGGGCCGGCCAACAACTGTTTGAACTTGTCCAGACGGGACGCTTCCCTCTCGGTCATGGCCGGGGTGCCGGATGTGTTCTGGTCGGCCATGCGAGCCACCAGCGGGATGACGGGCGGCCGGTGGGGCAGAGACCGCTGTCTGTGGAGTCCTGCGTGCTCACTTGCTGCATCTGGTGGGAGGAGGAATAGTTCGAGACAGGGCGAAAGGGTTACACAAACACATTACTGTAGTCTCTGCACACATATTTAGGCTATTCTATGCAACGTTCTTTCGACAACTAATATTATAACTGGTGTAATAGGTTGTTTTTTTACTTCCATTCACTGAGCCTCCCCTGACGCTGTGTGGAGCCCCCTCTGGGGAGGCCGGTCTCCCGCTTTAGAAAACCTCTGTGCTTGATGAAATGTTAAAGGGGGGGGGGGGTCAGTAAAGTTATTAACATTCATCCCGAAGAGGAGATGAATGCGTGTACACAAATTTCATGGCAGCCCATCAAATAATTATTGAGATATTTCAGGCCGGACCGGAGCGGCGGTTGCACCGGCTGAGCAGACGAGACACCTCGACCCATGACGCTCGCGTGGCTAAACATTTTGAATTAGCGAACTTCACTCAGAGCACTTGACACCGAAAGGCCCGACATTATCGAGTCCAGCTTCTTCCGAACGGAGCGTTCCCTCGATTCTGTTCAGAGGTCAGTTTTTTGTCCTGCTGTATAAAACTTTGATTAGTGGAGGGAGAAATGTTCACAGCCTACATTAGGCTTCCATTTCAGCGACAGTAAGGCGACACAGTAACTGCTGTGCACAGCAACTTTCAATGTTAACGCGCTGATTGGGTAGACAGTTAGCAAAGTGAAGTTGAAGAACTGCATTTTCAGGTTTAGGGAGCAGATGTTTCTCGATCTATGATTGAAATCTGTATTAAAAAAAAAAAAGTACTCAAGAGCAGGAATATAGCAAAAACGATGAGTTACGCTAAGCTAAGCTAAATTTGGATCCTGTCCAGGTGGTGATGAATGCGGTTATTGTTAGAGGCCTCCAGGAAGGCAGCCGTTGTGGTTACGGCAAAAAAAAAAATAATCCAGATTTACCTGTGAGGGCTTTATAACGGGTAGACAAACGCATTAATTCAGTCTGCCGAGTGCCACATGTTCCCCCAGATGTGCTAAAATAGGACAGAGCGAAACATTGGCACCACGCAGGCAGAGTTATGAACAAGCTGGTGTTGTCGGGACTTCATTGTGGAGAGGGATGTTCCTGCCGTCGCACGAGACACTCAGCTAAAGTTCATAAAGATCCCTGAGAGCAGCACTGCCAACATTGCTCAGTGCTGTAGCAAACCGCGACATATAAAACGCGCATCGAGTCGCACACACACTCCACAGCAATTAAGAAAACTGGAACGCTGCCGGTGGTGATACCCGTTTCAGGTTTTTTACAAGAACAAATGAAAAGCTACAAATCTGTTCTCAACTGCTTTATTTGCACTTACAAAAATTAAAAAAGATCATCAAAGCCTGCGGAGGCTTCTTTGCGGTGGAACCTTTTGTGACATTTTAACAGCAAAGCCTTTTTTTATTGTCCATTTAATAACTTTTAACTTTTAAAAAGGGCCGTAAAAAAGACAAAGCCAAGATGGAGGATTTACGTCAGTGACGTTCAGTCACAGTTTACTGCATGATTAATACAGGGAAGAAAGGGTAGACAACAACATGAAAGTACACAACCGGAGAGTACTTCCTCCAGGAGCTCCACAGAGCCAAGTGACACCCACCCCCCCCCCACCCCCCTCTCTGTGTGTGTGTGTGTGTGTGTGTGTGTGTGTGTGTGTGTGTGTGTGTCGCTTCACTCTCTTATGCGGCACCGGGCGTGTGTGAGTCGGTAATGTTGAAGTATAAGGAGGGAGTCTGGGCCTCGCTAATGAAAGCCATGCTGTGTCCCGCTATCTAATTAGAAGGGAGCGAGTGTGTTCGCGCTATTCCTTGCCGTCATCTCACACACACACACACACACACACACACACACACACACACTATAAGAGGAAAAAGACCAAGAAGTCAAGCAAAATCTACAAAGAAATGAGACCCAGCAAAACCAGCAGTCAGCCTTACTGGAACTGTGCATATCAAGTTGTTTGCCCAACCTGCCAAGTACATGTATTAAGGTTTTTATATAAGCTTCGGTGTGTTTTGCGACATGCTCGGAGAGGCGCGAACGGCACCGTCTCACGTCTCCATGCATCCACGTGTCGACGTGGATGCATGCACGCCTGTGTGTCGTCTTCTCTGAGGAGATAAGGGGAATTGCCTGAAGGCAAAACAGGCTTCTTGTGTTATCTGCGTCGAAGGATGGCAGACACCCAGGCCATAGTCAGCCACACGTTCAGCATGTACGGCGTCTGCTGCTAGTGCTGCTGATGTTGTAATCTAGGAAGCAGCAGTAGAGACATCTCTTCTTTCCTTTCCTACTACGAGGAAGAGGATAAAACGGTTACACGCGAGGGTACGGTGTTGCTACACAGTGCTGCTGTGCCCCTGTTTTAAGTCAAAGCAACAAAAAAAACACCCGACATATGGAGGAGGATTTGAACAGTGACACGGGTCCAACAGGAGCCCTGCCACAGAGCAGTTGTTGTGTACTACCGGGGAAACAGAGCCAGACTGAAGAGGAGGAGTTGGAGGGAAAAGTGTCTCTTTCTACTGTCATCTTTATATATTTATTTATAAGATGTATTTATATAAAAGAGGAAGGGGAAGAAATCTGGGATTACGATGAAGAATAGCTTCTCAACAGCACAGGGGTGATGCAATTTACCAGCGATTACGGATATTAAAAAATGAAATATTGAAACAGACTATTAGTATTAGTTAAAGATCAATTAGACTTGTTTCTATAGATATCACTATAATATCCGTACCGTGAGTTCTTTCGGCCATAATAATCATGTCGGGAAAAATGAGACATCTGACAGCACTGCTTGGCTTTTGTTTTGCAGTATCCCTTGCTCCACTTCCTACTACCTTTGAACAACACTCTGAGCGCTATTGTTACGAAGGCTTTTTTATTTGCCCGTTGTGAGGCTGTGTCAACACTGAGCTACGTACACTCTGTGTAAACCACAAACACGTTCAATCAAAGCACGGCACTGGCAGTCTGTCATTGGCGGAATCTGCCAAATATTTTCCCCCTCATTGCTGCGCTGTTTGGATGCTGAGCGCTTCTGTTGGCTCTTGATACGATTTGAATGTGGTGAACCACAACAGTTGTGAAACCACAGTAAATAAATACACAAAAGTCATCACTTAACTCCTTTTTTTAAATGATATTCTATTGATGGCATAGCACTAAAACTTGATATGGTGACATTTCCTTTGTGTTTTCCACATGTGCACTAAAAGTAAAAGCGGTCTAGCTTTTGTTATGCAGGTGGCATGAGCCAGAAAACCTTTTTTTGGGACACTGAGCAATGGTGCTCACTAACCTTTAGGAGACCCAATTGGAGCTTCGCTTTGGGACTTTACAAGGCGGCCTTCGGTGTAAGGGCTGCTCTGGGAGGCGAACGAGACCTCTGGGCTGGTCCCGTCTCTTTCCCCCGCCCTGTCCTCCTCGTTTTCTTCCTCGTCCTCCACCTCGTCGTCCTCTGCCACCTCCTCCTGCGTGTCCTCTCCTCTCTGTTCCAGCTCTGTCGTGTCGTCCTGCCTCTGTCGCTCCTGCTGCTTGCTGTGATTCTCGATGACCTGCTCGGTTGACAGAAAAAAAAACAAGGCGTGGCACTGGTGAGCTTCGTGGTTTTGCAACAACTCCGTGAACATACCATAACACATAGCATATGACAAAAAGTGTGCAGCTGGAGCTTGATTATATTCAGGATATTCAGCCAGGATAACATTTGGAAGCATGTTTTTTTTAATGGAAAATGTCTGAAAAAATGTAAACGTAAAATACATTTTATGTTAAATAGACAATGTAGTTAAACAGGCAGCTAACATTCATGAAAATGCTTTCTAATGGACTGACAAAAAGCCAAGATGAACTATGTTGTGATAGTGGG